GGAAAATTTACAGTAATGAACAAGACAAAAAATTATAACATGCGTCGCGTGCACGCGACACGAACGATCCGAATACGCATATAATGATTCATACAGAAAATTGCAGTCTTACCACTCACTAGTGCAGTTACCTTTGCATGAAAGCGTGATGTGGATTGTTTGTTGCTGTAGAGTCGTCACCCATTGTGTACAATGAGCGATTAAGATTATCTGAGGACGCCAAATCCTCGAGTCCGCAAACTCCTCAGGCAAGGCTTGCTAGACATACTTTTGCGCTGAAAACACATAGGAATGATTGCAAAATATACTGATTGAGTCAAACATTGGTTTCAAAATCGATGATTGTGATGTAATACCCTCAATTCATGTCTATAATGTAGCCGACCATGTAGCGATATATCAAACTGAGAGGATTTTACCAGAAAATTGAGGTAAGATTAGCTTTTTCCCTTTTTATTGGAAAGCAGAACTCGGTGTTTTAATCGCAAGTCCGAAGTGTAGACCAGATTCAACTTCGCGAAAAACTAGAATGTTTGGATGACAGGTGTTCTCTATAGGAGTGGCTAAAATGATTTGAAACCGCCATGAAGGTAAGTGAAATCATTAGTTGTAGTTCCATAATTGCTTAAAGGTCACTTTGAATCTCTTTTAACACAGTAAAGTCATTCCCATGTTGACAAGAAAAATGTCTCGCATTTTCTATGTAATGCATCACCTCGTACAACAAATGATCTGGAGCTTGAGAATGTCCGCTCACGGTTTGTGCCGCCCAGCTGTACCACTAAAATTTAGCCCATTGATGCCGGAATCACCGTTATTTTCAAGATCTACTGCATGCGCCTTTATCTTCATGAATGCTGTGGATCGAGACGAGAGCAGTGAAGTCAATATCTACAAGGTTAATTAGTTGACCGCCTGGTTAAGGAGCGTGGCAGCGTGGGACGATAATTAACCTAAAACGATGGCAAATTATATTATCCACACTGTTATCCTTACAGCCTCGCCTTTGCATTCTTTATTTGGTTAGGGGAAGAAGGGGTAAAACAAATATTTGCAGGATGCTATCAAAATCCTTCGTCCCAGGAATCACATGGCCATTTGCAATCTGATGTAATATCACTGGAGGATGACGCAGTGCACCGGGAGCTGTATGACAGTGATATTATCCAGATGCTATAGGAGGCTAAAGAGGATGAGGATCAGGAGGATAAGCAAGTGAAAGTGGCGTATACCAGGAAGTAGGAAAATTCGAAGCCTCTAAATGTTACTGCTTCCTCGATCCTGGATGATTGAGTTTTCCATAGTCGTGAGCTTCAGACGTTCGTCCTTATGGATGCCATCACTTGGAACACACTTGATACTTGGCTTCACTATCGAAGTACACTCTGACAATTCGTATATTAAATGCGTGCGTTATCACACAAAACATGATGTCTCTGCAAAATAATTGTTTTCGCATGTTTTTTGCAGCCCCAGGATAGTCATGAAAGTACTATGACTATGGCTTATATTTATGAGTAAGAGAAAATAAGACGGTCATGTGAAGCTTGATGGAATGAGTTCTATAAACTATGGGTTATATAGGTACGGGTTATCCCAGAATTGAATGTAGTCATTGAAGAGCAAATCGCATTACCATTACCACGTTTAATGCAAGATTATGGAAATCGTACCAGTCTCAACACCAGTACCACCTAAAAAAGCAGAGTGGTGCTAATTACATTACACAAAACTGTAACATGGGATAATAAACTTCGTGCTTGCTAACGAGTGTTTCATTTATAAGCCAACTGTCACACGATGGTTGCGCACACTCCATTTTGACCAACTATTCGTTTGCTAATTACTTTTTGCGTCCGCGTGCTGACCTCCTCCTCTCACCGGACTACCCACTCGCTGTATTCTTGCGAGCCCGGTCACACGAAGCCGACTCGATCGTGAAAGTGGGAATCCCGTTGTGACCCAGTATCGTTCTTGTTATAGAGTAAGCAGTATGGCAGCTCTTGGTATACATATTGTACCAATATCTGCTGTTTTAACGGATGCTTACTATTTATGGGGGGGGGCACTGCAAGATGTACGAATGGCATACGACAAGCCTATGACTGTTTCAAGCGGTGTGCTTCCGTAGTATTTCATAAGCTGGGACAGTAGCAGGTCAGTTCTTGGTGTATTTGGTGTCGATTCTGCTTCCTTACGAAAGCTTACGTGTGTAACAAGCGGAGATGTGAGTCATCAGGATGTATTTTAGCTAAAATTTAAGCCGTGTCTGATACGAAATGAATATTTTACGAATCTTGTGGATGCTTGCATTGCTTCACTCACCTTTGAGTTTATGCAAGCAACAATAAATATTTTTATGCTTTAAACACTAGAAGTGTACTTCAGCAACATATGTTGTAGAGTGCATATACAATAAAAAGTGAAAGACTCCGTCGAACCTGAGTTCAATTGTATACTTAATAAATGAGATGTTACATAGAGCTATAAACTGCAACTTCAATTGATTGTAATTGCAATGGATTCTCGTGCGTGGCATTCGTATCGATTGGTGTTGGGCATCACGTTATATATCGTGACTTGTGGCACTGGAATTGAAGAACCCAACATGTCAATCAAGTCAAGTGCGTGCATCAAATGATCGTTTTTCTTGTCGGTCGAATTTTCACGTCAGCGACGTGCATTACTGTAGTGACCATCTTGCGTGCACGACCGGCAGTTGTACGCATTTAAGCGTTTTGCTATCCTTTGAGCTTTCAATACGTCGTTTTGCCCCCTTCCAACCTTCTTCGATTACGAAGGTGAACACGTTAACATTGTAGGGGGTTTCGTACTGACAACCACTTCATTTGTCTCCCCATGAAGATTTGCCTGAATTCTTTTTAAGCTACGACGGTTGAAAAGCTGAAGTCCTGTCAATTGTGGACACGTTGTACTGCAACACAGCGACGTTGTGGCGGCTAGACAACCTCAATCGCGCAAAGGTTAAACATAGCACTTTAAAGCTTCTAAGGTAAAGCGTTTGGTCCATTTTTTTGCAGCTGCTTGCGAAATGAAACTGCAAGAATCATGTGCCTCGATTAATTTTGAAGTGACTCTGTCCGATGGAATATAATGATCACGATTGAAGTAAAGTGCTACTGTCAAGTGTACAGGTGGAGCTATCGGTGATATCTTCCTACGATCTGTGACACGCTGATCGCGTATCATGGGGGTTACCAGGCGTACAAATACTGGAAGAAATACATGGAGTTTGCATAATCGACATGTGAAGTGAGGATCAAGATACGAGGTGCTTAATACAACACGAGACATACATGATCTCGATCCCAAGATTCATGATCCCGACTTCATGATATGCCACCGCAATCCCAAGTTTTAGGACCACACAAGAAGATATATTAAGACGTTGATAGACAAGGTAACGGGTACATCTTGCACCACAAATAATAACCATTACCAGGATCCGCAATCAGACGTTTTTCTACCCAGCTGTTTATATATCTGATGTGGACCGCAAATTAAAAAGAGGGTGATTACCATAAAGGGGCAAAGCGTGGCATCAGATCCCAAGATGTACATTGGTGTGGTCATATCTTAATCCACATAAATAAAACGCTTACCAATTTACCTCAGACACCGAAAGTCTCTCTCAAGCAAGGCCTCGCGGTCCTGATCACCCCCTTTGCAATCCAAGGGTGTGTCACTGATCAGGCTGCGGGCCAGATCTAGGTGCACCAGGATTAGACCAAAAAAACTTAAACTTGCTGGTCTGATAGAAAAGAAAAGGATATATATCAGCGCACCACTGCATGTTATGGTCAAACTACATCGTCATCCAGAAATGATCGAGGTCCTGCTTGAAAGTGGTGCCTCTAAAAGCTTCTAAAATAGCACATATAATGGCTCATGGTGAAGCTGGACCGACCATGTGCTCCCGTCTCACCGACTGTATTTGATACAATGCGCGGATCTATAGCAAGTGATGGGACGAAGAAGACACAATTATCTTTCCCGAATCTCAAGCCAGGTACAATGATCATGCACCACTCAAAGATTTCGATGTCAGCATAGACAACAGCTTTTTTGGAAGAGACATCACGAACGCGCTCGTACTCGATGTGAAATTCAGAAACAATCTGGTTTGATGGGACAATTGTTTGACATGAATGGATGAGGGGCAGGATACCAAAGGACAAGCCAATATTGAAAAGAGGACGTCGAGTGTTGAGAAGATTCAAAGGAAGCAACCACAAAGTTAGCAACCCTAATATTATTTGTTGAGATACATCTTACGCTTATGATATAAAGATCAGACGAATCATTCAAAAGTGAACAAATAATGTATCTAACAACAGTCAATTTGTATATCAAACTCGCTTTCTGATATGAGTACTAGTTTTGAGAATTTTGCAAAGTCATGTTACTGTCATCGACTTGTTGTATGCCATTCGTCCATCTGCAGTGCCGCTCACACCCAGAATTAATAAGCAGTCGTTAGGACAGCAAAAAGACAGTACTGTAACGGGATATCCCGTTGCATTATACTGAAACCAAACGGTGTCAATAGGGAGATTGTCTAGCGTGACAATTTCTGATCAACATTACCCAAGATAGGTAATATTGAAGGAATATTATCCCCTTTTGAATAATATTCATGCGCTGCTCAAAGATTGTTTGATTATAGACATATTAACCAAGATTACCACCAATCACTGCTAGACGCGCGCAATGAGTGGTGAGCAGATTGTCTTCATACGACAATGTAAATTTAACATGGTCAGATAAAGACTGAAGTTATATTGATAGCTTAGCTACATTAAATACAGTTCTCTTTTTGCCTTTTACTCAAACTAGCTGTTTGAGTTGATTAGCTACTGCAGAGTGCCTCTGCACGTACGAGCGTTCGTGGAGTTTCATGGCATCCCGAACAGAGAGTGCCCCATTACATCTGATAGCACTTTGTAGTCCTTCCAACGACTTCTGAGTGTCCGTTCAACATGAACATGTTTGACATTGAAGACGACGGCCTCTACGTCACACTTGAAGGCTACTCCCATCTGAGTGACTCAGAATGGGAGATAGTCGGCCGCATGAGTGTGCTCATGGGCGAACCGCCATCAGTGGCATGTTGGAGTCTTTAAACAGAGACAAGCAACGTGCTGCTATCAACAAGTTCCTACAAGGGGAACTTGCCGTCGAAAGACAGAAGATAGCCTTGTTCAACGAGCAAGGCTCTCATCAGTTGATGGGCGGGCTGACTTACATGCGTCGACCCAAAAAACCTTGTAAATAGATATCTCAAGGTGCAAGGGAACCGACGAAGATTACCCTTTTGAGATGGTTCGTCGAGATAGACGATGCCATAAGGGCCCGTCACATCGAGGGAAACGAGATGCAAGTCACCTTCGCCCTGTCAAATTTGACAGGACGAGTAAAGACTTGGGCCTTAGGGCTCAAGCTCCACGACTTAAACGTGTTTGTGTCGTTAGAGACCGAAGTCTCGGCTCAAAGAGACGTTTGAGCCGCCGAGGGCCGAGTTCAGAGCACGCTCTGCGCTCCTGAAGTTCAAGCAAGGGAAGCGTGATGTGCACGCTTACGCACAACACCTACTATACCTTGCGAGTAGCGTTACGAAATACCCTGTTGATGAGCACAAATTTATCAACGTGTTAATCTATGGTCTTGTAGACGAACTGGTCGAGACCTACATGTTCCAAGAGGACTTTCATACGCTGGAAAAGGCGATAGCGTATGAGGAACAAGAGGACTTTAGCCTGAGAATGTCTCAGGCTAACTCGTCAAACTATCGTCCGAAGAGACGACAAAAAACCAGAGGTCCCGAACCAATGGACATCTGCTACATCGAGAGCAAGAACTCTTGCTCTCTGAGTCACAAGCGAACGGCAAGATTCCGTCGCTGTCAAAAGATCGGGCACTACGCTAACGAGTGTAGTGTTCCAAGCACCGCATCACGTCCAAAGACAGGACGTGATGACCGCCGTTGGTCGAGGAAATGTCCAAGGTGCGGGTCCGACCATGTCGCTAAACCGCGACAGCAAGTCGGACCGCCAAAAAGCGGTCAGGGTCAGTCAGGAATGGCACCCTGCTGATCCAGCAACGTCAAAAGAATTCGCAGGACTATTGACGAAGATTGCTCCCAGCACACAGTCACTGTGCATTATTGTCCCTTGTGATGAGGTGTACCTCATCACTTTGAAGATCGAAGTGACAAGTGGAATGTCACTTCGCGCCCTCGTTGACTGTGGGGCGTCGAACAGTTTTATTCGACACCAGTCGCTAGAAGATAGTAGGCTCAACTATGTTGAGCGAGAGATCCCTTCAACGAGGATGACGGTGCGCGTTGCAACAGGTGCATCCGTAACAGTGAACAAACTTGTAGTGGGAATCCACTACACGCTATAAGGAAATCAGCACGATGATGACTTCATCGTAATGAATCTGGATGAAAAGTTTGACGTCATCCTCGGTCTGCCATGGCTTCGAAAATACTAGCCGTGGACCAGCTGGCAGCATCGATCTGTGAAGATGCCTGCCGTTTTTTTTATCAAATGACCATCTGATGAACGTCTTGGAGCGTCCACAAGCGTGTGGATGTACTACGAGTGAGTGCAATGGAATCACTTGTGGTACGGTCTTTAGTACGACTGCACGAGATCACAGTGTAGAAGGCCACTACACTGTGGAACCAGCTTCCGGCACCTGTGTAGAGACACATGCTGCGCCGAAGGTTCACCACTCGAAAAGATCGAGTGGACTGGAACATGAATGTAGACCAAGAAGTTTGCATCCAAGAAGTTTGCATCCAAGAAGAGAGATTAGTACCGTTCAGGATAAACAACACGTTAAAGCGAGATCGACTAACAGAGGTCGATCGCGAAGCAAACACGATCGACTAAAAGAGTCGATCGAAGAGGACGTGACTGTGGTAGTGCACCCACAGTCAGAACACGTAATGGAAGAAAGTTCCAGCGTTCCTGAGAGTGATAAATCCCAAGAGAGTTATGTTGAGGGTGTGGATCCTCAACCACCTGGGGATGCTTTTTCACAGGAAAGCACCGAGACATTGAATGTCTTGGTGAATGACGGATCGAGTGTAGGCGCTTATACACTTGATCTGGTTACACCTCCTAAGTCAGCTTCGGAGGTAGTCAAGTTGCCAACGCTAGAATCCAACAGATTCTTGCGAGATCTGCGTAGTAACGGAATCAAGCAGATCTACGTACTCGTCACAGAGGACGAGTACGTCGCCGACATTCGGTCGGCACAAGTGTTTGCTGAGAACGAACGGGTTCTCAATAGGTCATCGATGGACGACAGTGTCCTCGATGAGAAGACCCGGATTGAGCGATACACGTCTCAATTATGGGAGTATTTGAAGACAAATCCTTTGTATAAGGATTTAGTCGGATTCAGGGATGTTTTCCCCGAATCCGTGCCATGCGAGTTGCCTAAGGACAAATGCACTCGGCACGAAATTGAACTGAAACCCGGTTCGAAGTACTGTGTCATAAAGCAGTGGCCACTGCCTCGTGAACAAGTCACAGCGATCGACAAATTCTTTGCAGATCGCTTATCGGCTAGTCATGTGAGGGTCTTTGCAGATCGCTTATCGGCTGGTTGTGTGACATCCCCACACAGCTCTCCGAACTTTTGTGTGCGAAAGGCCACAGGAGGGTGGTGGATTGTGCACGCGTTCAACAAATTGAACGCTGCAACGGTACCGCCCCAGACGCCGATACCGAGGATGCACGTCATCATTGATGGTATGGCAAAAAGTAACATCTTTTCGTCAACGGATCTGGTGGATGGTTTCTATCAGATCCTCATGCGTGAACCTGGGACATCCCATACTTAGCAGCGAGCACCCTCAGTGGTATGCTCTGGGAGTGTGCAGTGATGCCACAGGGGATAAGTAACGCCCCTGCAACGTTCAACAGATGTGTTACGAATCTGTTGCGATCAGTGCAAGACTTCGCACAGAGTTACTTTGACTATGTCTTCGTCCATAGCCAGGTTATGGATTGAAAGACGGACGTGGATCTATGAATCTCCACGTCCAGAAGGTTCTTACACTCATGCGTAAGCATAAGTTGTTTGCGAACCTCAAGAAGTGTATAGTCGCAGCGAGAGAAATACGATTCGCCTGATGCTGAGGCAAGATAAGTTTTCTCTTCGGCACACATGCGTGTAGCCGCCATCTTGGCTGCTTCAGCAGCGCATCGCATGGACTTTGACACTATGCGATGAATTGGTAAATGTGTTGGAATTTGATTAGCAATTGCTCCCCTTCCCAGATTGATCCAAAGATAATCATTCTGTCCCCGATCAATTTAGTATAATTAACAAGGTGACTATGGTTAAGAGGAAGGTGTAACGAGGTATCCCGTTACATGATTTTGACACCAAATGGTGTCAACAGGGAGATTGTCTAGCGTGACAATCTCCTACCAATATTATCCGAGATGGATATTCATGCGCTGCTCAAAGATTGTTTGATTATAGACATTTCAACCACCAATCGCTGCTAGACGCGCGTAATGAGTGGTGAGCGGGTTGTCGTCATACGACAATGTAGATTAATATAGTTAGATAAAGACTGAAGTTATATTGATTGCTTAACTACATTAAATACAGTTCTCTTTTTGCCTTTTACTCAAACTAGCAGTTTGAGTAGATCAGCTTCCTCAGCATGTACGAGTGTACGTGAAGTTTCGTGGCATCCTAACAAAGGGTGCCCCATTACATTACCCGTCATATAATCCAAATCAGTGGACGTTTCTTGAGCATAAGAGAGACGGCAGACTAGGGGGGTGAACCTCAAACTTGCTGACATCCCAATTTGCAATGATGCGCTGGCTGATTTTGGGATTCTTGGCCTTGTGCTGGCAAATCGCGAGCCTTTTTGCATTGGTGAGGCGTACTTGGTTGGGACATGGTCATGATGTGATGTAGAAGAATAAACCCGCTAATGTACTGACCTTATCTTTATACAAAAAAGGAAATTGGAAAAGTATGCGTAACTCATAACCTTGGCTAACTCATCGAATCTGTCTTAACCCAGCCTGTGAGGTGTCCGAGGAATGACTACAGTCAATGTGGCTCTTTTTTGTAGATCAGTCAGTGTAGATGGACATGTCCCGCGGAATGGCCGAACAGCTGGTAATGGGCTGATCTCTACCCGTGACTGAGCCTGCGTCATCAGATTGCGTGTGGAGCGTGACCGCGTGACGGTTTTGTGTCACTACGTGACGCTTGCAGAGCAATGCTCACCTTGGTGCACGGACTGTGTACAGTGATACACTGAATGCTTTAGACTTGTGCTGTCCACGCTTTACGTCTACTTTCTGCCTTCATTTGTTGAAGGTTTAGTTTGATGCTGCAAGATGAACAGCTCTAAAGGATGCACAAGGGGCCAGCACATCGGCAAGCCATCGAGTAGTGATTGCAGCTGCCTGGAAACAACTATCGCAACGAAGAGCTGCTCGGTATAACCGCGTACGAGTTAGTCTGAAAGCTGCATGGACGCTTGTCTCACGTCCGAGATCAACTGGGGGCGACGGCGGAAGCGCACGCTCTACACTATGTACGCTGCCGCATCACAGCCTAAGCCCTTTACCAGATTCACAACTCGATAGGAACTCGCGGTGTTCTATCATGGTGGCAATCTTTCACGTTCGGACTGCTGCCACTACTATACAGAGCAGGCCGAAGGTAGGACGAGTTCTTGTAGAAACTTCCATTGCATCGGTTGCGGGTAATTGAACAAGTCAACGAAGCTGACTCATCACCCGATCGAGCCGACCTTAGTCTCAAAACAGAGCCCTCTTGTTGAAGGGCCGATGTGGCGTTCATGTCCAGTAATGATTGCACGCTCGCACTGGGCTGACGCGGCAGCGTCACGAGTCCGTACTTGTCATCACTTCAACTTGCACTTTTCGCTGCAATCCCGTCGCGTTGATGCATGTGACACTAGCCATCGGTCAGTCGCAATGGCTCATTCACTTAAGCAATTGTCAGCAGCAAGCAGGTACTTCACTTTCCAATTGGCATCCATTGACAACTACGCCACCGCCACTTGTTCCCTACCGATAACAATGGCACCACACGAGACCACGACTGCTGCTCTAGGCTTGGGTCAGCTCGGCATTGAGAACGACTGCACAGTGTTTCACAATCTCTCGTACGACCAGCTCGCGGACCACGAAAAGCGCTACCGAGAAGGCTCGTTCGTGGCCAACGGAACATTTGCCGTGGATACAGGCAAGTTCACAGGCCGCTCTCCCAAGGACAAGTTCATTGTAAAGCAGGAACCGTCGCAGGACAATGTCTGGTGGGGCTCAATCAATCAACCCACGACGGCCGCAGTGTTCGACGTACTGTACACCAAGGCGGCCAAGCACTTCAGTTCTGTGGATCGCATATACGTGTTCGACGGTCATTGTGGTGTGAATGAGAAGTCACGCCTGAACGTGCGCATCGTGACGGAGCTCGCGTGGCAACACCACTTTGTAACGAACATGTTTATCCGGCCGGAGTTTTCTAGTGTAGCGGAGAACTTTAACGCTGACTTCACGGTCATCAACGCGTGCAACATTGTAGACGAGGACTGGAAAGCACACGGCTTGAACTCGGAGGTGTTTGTGATCTTTAACATCGAGAAGCACATGGCCATCATCGGCGGCACATTCTATGGTGGTGAGATGAAGAAGGGTATCTTCAGCATGATGAACTACTACCTGCCGCTGAATGGCGTCATGGCCATGCACGCATCGGCCAACATCGGCGAGGCGGGCGACACGGCCATTTTCTTCGGCCTGTCGGGCACGGGAAAGACAACTTTGTCAGCCGACCCAAAGCGCGAGCTAATCGGCGACGACGAGCACGGCTGGGACGGCGATGGCGTGTTCAACTTTGAGGGTGGCTGCTACGCAAAGACCATTGACTTGAGCAAAGAGAACGAGCCGGACATCTTCAATGCCATCCGACCGAACGCCATGCTGGAGAACGTGTGGATCGACGCAAACAACGAGCCCGACTACTTCAACTCGAGCAAGACGGAGAACGGACGCGTGTCGTATCCCATCTACCACATCCCGCACCACCAGCCACATTCTCGTGGCAACCACCCGAACGCCGTGATCTTTCTGACATGTGACGCATACGGCGTGTTGCCACCCGTGTCAAAGCTTTCTGCGGGTCAGGCACAGTACCACTTCCTGTCAGGCTACACGGCCAAGGTAGCAGGCACGGAACGCGGTATCACGGAACCGCAGGCCACGTTCTCGACATGCTTTGGCGCGGCGTTCATGACGCTGCACCCGACCAAGTATGCTGACCTGCTGAAGAAGAAGCTGCAGAAGCATAACACACACGTTTACCTGATCAATACTGGCTGGACAGGTGGGGTGTACGGCGTGGGTAAGCGCATGAAGCTACCGTTCACGCGCAAGTGCGTGGACGCAGTACTGGACGGCAGCATCAACGAGGCGTCGTTTGTGAAAGACCCGTTGTTTGGGTTTGAGATTCCGACATCAGTGAAGGGCGTGCCGTGCGAGATGTTGAACCCGAAAGAGTCGTGGATGGACAAGAAGGCGTTTGACAAGACGGCGCTTACGTTGGCCAAGGCTTTTCAGGACAACTTTGAGCAGCTTATTCTGCCGGAAAACGACTTGTCGGTGTACGGTCCGAGCGTGTGAGAGCTGGTGGGTTAATGCGGGACAAGTAGAGGTTGTGGCGGCAGTATAGGCTGTTGCACTGGTCGGATGGTCGGTCAGCTGGTCGTCAGTCTCCTTTGTTTCGAGGATCTATCTAGATGGTACGTTTATAGCTCTTCCTGCGTGATTGCTCATCAAGTTTAGTCAGGCGTACAGAAAACAGGTAAGCCGAGCCTCGTGGAGGTTGCATAGTTTAGCATATGGTTCCCTATGATAGGTTGGCTTTCTGTCGGCTTATACTGCATAGTCAGAATGGGCAACATCTTTATGAACGACTTTCCAGTATGACTTGGCGCGTTGCAGCATAATGTGAGTATTAGTGTCATTCGTAACGTGCTTTGTTACATGAAATAGTAGCGATGTCCACTATTTCTAAAGAGAATGCAATTGCGACTCACAACGTCGTGTAGCAGGTGACGATCTCTGCTTGTGAACTGATGGACGCGTATACTTGTAGACTTGGAGCCATTACAATACCGATGCGAAGTAATACAACATCCATGGCACAACGTTGGACGTGATACATCATTTTTGAGGCACGACTTGCTCGGTGCCACCGGTTGTCTTGCTTGCATTTTGTTCGTCATCGGCATTCCGCAATGAGGAGTAGCTGGGCCCACTCAAAAACCGCAAGTCATTGATCTCGCTGGCTTGCACGCTCTGTTGTTCAGTATGTATAGCTTCATGGAAGACTATAGAGCCGTCAGTGATGGCAAGAGTCCGGGTCGACATTTCGACTGCAGTACCTTGCACATCCATCGACTGCACCTGGCCGCATCGCCATTCGCTCAGTACAGGCTGCCACGTATCAACGCAAAGCGTAAGCGTCTTATAAGCAATGACGTCCGTCGGAACAAAGCAAAATGAAGCCGCAGCGGCGGTCGGGTATGAGTTCAATAACTAGCAAGGTCCAGCACAGCAGCAGCATGTCAGCTAAAATTATTGGCGGAGCATAAGGCAGCAGAAAATGAAGAAGGCAGCAGAAAATGAATCAAACGTACCGCAGTCAACGAGTCGTTCATGCTTGACTGTTCCGATCTCTTGTCAAGCACAGTCGCGACAACCTTGTACGGCCGCTTCCACCTTTCTTCATATTTGCTTTTTCCTGCTCCTTTCGAGGCGTCTTGACTTCCATTGCCCAAGCTGACGGAGGGACGAGATGCTTTATCCTGATTGCCGCATGCAGCCCTCGGAGGCAAGCTATTCGAAGACGGAGGACCGTACTTTGCCAGCTCAGGTGTCTGGGCCTTTCGATTACTCCATCGACTGTCCCTAACATCGCACCGTACCTCATCACGCTTGACTTCAACTTGATCTCCGGTTACTTCATCAAAAAGAATGTGCGCTTTGGCACGAGGATAGCCTCTGACGTCAGCAACGCTATTGTCGCTTTGTGCCGCTGTACATACAGCTTGTTTCAATTGCTTTGAGGGGTTTGCTACTTGATCCCGTCGCAGCGAAGTGTTACCTGACAATGTCGCAACGTCCGCAGAGCTGTCTGCGATACCATCCTCCTTGGCCCCACTTTTTTGTCTGCCACCCCGCTGTCTCAATCGACGTCGTCTTCGACGTGGTGCTTTTCCATTCAGTCCAGGTGTACTAGCACTTGTTTTGCTTGTCACACCACGAGAGACAGACGTCTTCTTTCTCGCAACATCTTTGCCATTCACTGGCTCTTGCTTACCCAACGCCACCGACTTCCTCGCAGTCTTTTGAGTCGCATCGAGCCATAGGTGTGTCCTCGGACTCACTGCTGCTGCTGCTCTCACTCGAACAAGAGCTGCTTGAGCTACTACTCGAGCTGGAGCTGGAGCTGGAGCTCTCGCTGCTGCTTTTCTCCTCCACTACCCGTCGCTTCTCAACCACACGCTTCCCACAACTCTCCTTCTCCACGCCCTGTCGCTTCTTCCTCCCCTTCACTGCACTTTCCACCACCTTGAACTTCTTCAACCTCGGCTCTCTGTCCGTCTTCCCAAGCGCTTTTCGCTTCAGCAGCTTCTGATTCTCCGCTTTCTCACCCTCCGAACTCGACGTCTCACTATCCGGAACCTCTTCTCCTTCCTCTTCCTCTCTCATTAGTAATACGGGACTCTGGACCACAATCGTGTCATTGTCCCGAACAATCCGGATACTCTGCGACGCCAGCACCGGCAGCTCTTCTAATATCAACTCCAGACCCTGTGGACAGCGCTTCTGAAGCCCGAACTCCCGCAACAAGGCGTGCGCCAAGTCGCCCACGATCTTCATGTCAGCAGGGAGCAGGTACCAGCACGAAGAAAACCCGCAGCGACGTTGGACGTGGTGCTTCACAGCGTCTGCGAACACGAGGCGCACGCGGACGTCCATCGGTTTTTCACCGATGACTCGCAGTGAGAACAGTGATAAGATCCGGATAAACCTCTAGTTAGTGATTAGAGGCCGAGAGTGTGATTTGCTCTGTGGTTTGGGCAAGCGAGACCGTTTCAACAGCACTTTATAGCAAAAGCTTGTGTCGAGACTCCGCTTTTTTGTTGAGGGCACGTATACCGTATACAGGTTTAGAAATCCGCTCCACGTTCGACAAGTTTTGCTTCCAGTATGGACCGGATCACTCGAGTGCATGCACAGCTGAGTGCTGCAACAACTGACGCCTCAACCCGCGACGTGTTTGTGTCACCAATACCTACTGACTGTCCACAGTCGATCTACGACACGGTGCTCTCGCCATCTGCAATCGCTTTCGTGGCAGACTTGGCTGCTGCGTTTCACCACGAGGTTCAACAGGTAGAAACGTCGTTCAGTCGGATAGAAATACGAACATACTATTTTTCTCATCCACTATACCAAATAGTAGTTTGCATAGTCGTATGCTATTTTTCTCTATCTATCATAAGTACTAGAGCTAACGTTTTTGGGCATGATACTCTTTGCTGGTCTGTAGCTGCACACGAGACGTGGAGCGCGACGTCTTGCAACGGAGCGACATGGCGCAATGCCACATTTTCTCGAGGAAACTCGATTGATACGTCAAGATGAGACGTGGCAAATCGATGCTCAAGTTGAAGAACTTTTGGATCGACGGGTGGATATTGGAGACGTGTCTCCTGCTGACGGAGACTTGCTGCTCCAGGCACTCAACTCTGGAGCTCAGGTGTGTCATCGACGTCTCTTTCTCTCTGCTGTAAAAATGGGCTGCAGATGCGCCAATTGTGACTGTATCGAACATTTGCTGTGAAATAGGGTGTCCAAGTCGACTTTGATGACGGACATTGTCCAACGTGGTACAACACGATTCAGGGCCATTTTAATGTCATGCAAGCTGCTCGGGGTGTGCTGGACGTATCGGGGAAAACGACTGTTGAAAATGCGGCACTTTTGGTTGTTCGTCCACGAGCGTGGAATATGGACGAGTCGGTGCGGCACTGGTATCGGGTCATGGTCTTTTACTTATAGACATACACACTTACGCGATACGTATGCTTTTGCTGTTTTCGTGCAGCACATGATCGTGAATGGACACGTTGTGCCTGGCGCGTTGTTTGATTTCGGAGTGCATCTGTTCCAGAAGTAAGTATCATGTCTGCTTTGGTTTAAGGACAGGTTTTTGCTTGGCCGGCATAAATGACTGAACCATTGCGAGTTTGCTTCTGGCAACAAATGAAGCGGCAAACATCTTTATAAGAAGGGAACAGGGCCATTCTTGTATCTTTCGAAGGTGAAGGAATGTTGTATGTATCTGCCACACACATATGCTTACTGTGGCATGTATGCGTCTTGGACATGATACAGCTGGAAGGATACACGGAAGCTGCTTTATGGAGGAAAATCTTCGAGTACACGGAGACGAAACTCGAACTCGCACATGTGCGTTTCGATCTATGTTTGCTTTCGCTCGATATGGTGATCTTCTAATATTGAATGTACGTCTTTTACACTGCAGGGAAGCATCAAGGCAACGGTGCTGATTGAAAACATCTTTGCAGCATTTGAGATGGATGAGATCCTCTTCGAGCTCCGTCACCATTCGTCCGGCCTAAACTGCGGGATGTGGGACTACACGGCGTCTATTGTGACCAATTTCCGTCATCGGCCCGAGTTTGTTTTGCCGGACCGTCAGCAGTACGTGTCGATGAAGTCTGATTTCCTCAGGTACGCATCGTACGCTTTCGTCGCACAAGCACGAGCTATCTTGCTGAAGTCGCTGGTGTAGACACTACATGGATCTGCTGATACACACGTGCAAACGTCGGCATGCACCGGCAACTACTGGTATGGTGCCGTTCGTGCTTGCGGAGTTGCCGTGCTCACTATCTCGGCATGAAGCAATTGGAAAAGCAATAGCAGCAAAGAGAATAGAGGCTTTAGCTGGATCGGATGGTGCGCTAGTGTTCGATCCGGCTCTGGTTCAGCCTGTGGCCGAAGTATTCTCGGCAGCGCGTACAGACACCAACACAAATAGTGCTGCTCTTGATGAAGCATTGCTCAGCGAAAAGCTACTGACGCTGCCACGTGGGAGTGTAACGCTACATTCTGTGGAGGTGAATGTGCGTGTAGCACTTTTGTTTGTGCTTCACTGGCTGTGCGGGCGCGGCACTGTTGTCATAGATGGATGTGTCGAAGATTCCGCCACGGCCGAAATATCGCGGGCCCAGTTGTGGCAATGGGTCTATCATCGTGTGCCAATTTCAGGGACTTCGAGACAAGTAAATCCCTTGTACGTTCTCGAGCACTTCGACGTCTGCTACGCTGCTGTCGAACGCTTCTTAACACGTGAATGTGCTGTGCGTGTTGCTTGTATGGATATACAGTCTCATCGAGGAAATGCTGCAGAACGTACTTCGTGAAGAGCATCGAAAGCAACATCCACCTCATTGTATCCTAGCAGCACAACAGCTCGTATTTCTCCTGTCAACGATGCGGTTCCCTCCTGCTTTTATCACGACGTTTCTTCAAGAGCAAATTGCCTGCACGAAGAACCGCAAGCAGTGGCCGCTCTTGTGTAACCGCAAACGCAATTGACAGGTCGAGAGAAGCCGAGATGGCTGGAGCTGAGAGTAACAATTGAATCTATCATTGGCATGAATCTACCGTTGACATGCCTGACGCGGCACGTAGCAAAAAATTTACGCAAAACCCTCCATCGATGCCGGTGTATTTTCGACCACTTCGTACCCGTGACCTTTGGATGGAATCATGATCGACTCTGATGACGTGTCTGCTTCAGGTCCATCATCATACTTGGTGTGTTTTACGAAGCTCCTGACAACAAGCTCGCGATCCAGAATGTGACTCAGTTCCGTGTCCGTAATGCCACCGCTCTCCACACCCTTACGGATTTCCACGTCGTCTTTCAGTAGTTCCTCCAACTCTGTATTGGTAAGTCTAGTAGTCTCTGCAGGGGTCGTACGCTGCTTGAACCCACCGCGTTGGATGACAACGCGCTCAAGTTTACGTTTCTCGAACGCTCGCTGGGTCATGCGATCTTCAAACGAGTTTTCAGTCACAAGGCGATACACGATGATTTCGTTCTTCTGACCGATTCTATGGCATCGATCCATTGCTTGATTATCCTGCTGCGGGTTCCAGTCGGAGTCAAAGAAGATGACGGTGTCGGCTGCAATCAAGTTGATACCAAGGCCACCAGCGCGCGTAGATAGCATGAAAACAAAGACGTTGTCGTCATCGTTCGTAATAACGATTGACCCAGCAGACACCTTGTTAAACTTCTGCATCTGGTCTACGCGATCGATCAGCTTCGTACTGCCGTCTAAGCGACAGTAGCTATACTCTCGCATGGATAAATAATCTTCTAGAATGTCCAGTACGCGTGTCATCTGGCTGAAAATGAGGACTTTATGGCCCTTACGCTTGAGTTCCCGCAGCATCTTATCCAGTACCATCATCTTTCCAGACATCGCGACGATCTTTTCGTCCGTCACAACATCTCCTGTTGCTGTCAACGGTTCATCAAAAAGGTAAGGGTGCAAACAGCACTTTCGCATGTGCATCACTTTGTTTCTCAGTGTTCTCGTATTGAACGCCTGTTGGGCTCGAGATTTGCCGTATTTCTCCTCCATCGCCTTTGCGAGCGTGCCATCACAGATCATCTGGTAATACTCACGCTGCACTGGTGTCATGGAGCAGTACACGAAAATCTCCGTTTTCGATACCATTTCTTCCACTACATCTACTTTCAGGCGACGGAGAAGAAAAGGTCGCAGGATCTCATGCAGCTTTGCAATGACCTCGATCTTCTTCTCACCCTGCAGCACATCCTGCGTCGCTACCGATTCATTCGTAGCCGCAGCAGTTGTCACAGCATCAGGTGTGAACGAAAACCAACTTTCAAACAGCTCGAGATCATCAAACACATCCGGCAGAATGAAGTTCAGCAGCGACCATAGCTCAGTCAAGTTATTCTGCAACGGCGTTCCAGTCAGCAGGAGCCGATTCTCCGAACGTCCTCGCTTGAGCTCTCGAACGAGCTTACAGTCCATATTCTTCAAACGATGCCCTTCGTCAATCACCATATACTTCCACACGAAACCCGAGTTTGTAAACGCCCTGGCATCGGCCAACATGACCTCGTACGACGAAATAACGACTGGAAAGTCCATGTAACTCTTCTTCTTGCTATTGAGTTCATTCTTGCGCATGTTTTTCCGCTCCGGCTTCGTGCCGTGATAGATAACGACGGGCATCTGAGGCGCCCATTTGCGGAACTCGGTGGCCCAATTCATCAGCGTCGATAGTGGAGCGACAATCAGATGCGGCCCTCGCACACCGAGCGCCTTGAGGTGAGCGAGCAGTCCAATCACTTGGATCGTCTTGCCCAGTCCCATTTCATCGGCCAAAATGCCGTTCAGCCCGTTCTCAAACAAGTTACACAGCCACTGAATGCCTTCAAGCTGGTAGGTACGCAACGTGCCGCCCGTAAGAAGTTTAGGCTGCGGGAACGACACGTTCTTGAGTTGCTGCTGGTCTTCTTGCACTTCACGCAGCTTGTCAACGCCTTTTTTCGTCTTTTCATGTCCCGTCTGCGACGATTGCGTGTCCCGTTTGCGTTTACGATCCGTAGCAACTTCAGTTTCCTCTGCCGTTTCGACCACGTCGGACGTACCTCGTGCTGCATTTTCCATGTTGGAAAAGAGAAAACTCGAGTAGAGACTGGCTTTCTCCAGGAGCGAGTCCAGCTTGGCGATCTTCTCGCTCGAGACTTCGACCGGCTTGGGGCAGCCGGGAGCTCCTTCTGAAGCAGCTGCAGCTTCACGCTCTTGACGCGCTTCTTCCTCGACCTTCTCCATGGCCACGATGTCTGGCAGCACCTCCGACTCGTCTGGTAACGGACGGGCGACCATCGGCTTTCGATGTGGCAGGGAGGCAGGTATCCAACTGTTGCGCAGTCGGTCAATTGGTTGGTTGGTGGGTGGGTGGTTGGCGTGTCGAGTCATTGGATGTAAATCGAACGAGTCGTCTCGACCAATGAGAGAGTAGGTGCTTTTGATGACGCGAGCAACGAGCGTGCGGGCATAACCGCATCATATCGAACAGCGTCACAACGACGACGAGATAGAAACAGCTGGAGCGAAAGAGACGTTCGTGCTTGAGCTTGTGCAGTTTCGGCGACAGGAGGCCACAGACGTGTGATGGGTGCGTTAGTCGAGGCACTTGATGTCGGGTCAGACAAAAACTTGTAAAAGGAACGAAGTGACGAACCTTGACGTGCTGCTGCTGGGGTTCTCATCATTTATCGCGCACTATAGTATGATGGTGCCATTTACTTGACAGTAGTCCGATGCACAGGTCGAGAGTGTCAAAGCTCTCACAATCTCATTGCGAAGCTACGTGAAAGTATTTACGAAGCGAGTGCCACGTTGTTCTCCGTTCCTTGATGTTCGTGACGTGGCCATCACCAGCGTGATTTCTGGGCTGCTCGTGCCAAAGACACGTCGCGAATTCCGAGCGCACTAAACGACGAGTTTATCGCAATAGAACTTGGATAGAGTTGAACCCCAGTCACTGGTATCGACTGTCGACCTGGATGCAGAAAAGCCTTCGATTGGCAAGCTCGATACGTCGTCTGTCAGGCGAGTGTGTATCGACTTGTTTCATGGTGGTTGAGGCACTGCCGAAGGGATTGAAACATGCAACGGGTAGCGTCGTCTCCTGGCCATTGTATCCGGCGCTTGTAAAGTCATTTCTCAGAAAACAGCAGGATCGACCGTGTGTCCATTGTGTCAGCCCAGTGCTAGAACGCACTTGACCGAACTGAACTACCGAAGTGCAGTACAAGCGGTCCAATGTTAACAGCTGGCAAACGCATCGTCCGTCGGTGTCAGCGTTCCAAGTGTCGAGAGTAGCGATACGTTTCCCAGTGTGACGAAGCAAAGGTAACTTAAGTGTGTGTTAAGTGACAAAATGGCCGCTCCGGATCAAGTCCACGACTCAGAATTACGCTTGCAAGTATTTGGACTCCTAACCTTACATAGGTCCACACTTGACTGCTTATTCCGACACGGAGATCAATCGTCGCACGACCAGGACAAAAACAGGTAAGTTCGTTTGGTTGTGGATCGATTCTGTATACGAAATAGAGTCGGAGTGTTTGTGTGTGTGGACCCCACGAATTCCAGTCAATCTGACGGCAAACGACAAGCCAAGGGACACAACAATCAGGACTGGCTCCGAATGGGTCACAATCGCTTGGTCGCCACGTCTCGCACGACGCATTGAGTCGGCAATGGAGGCGCAGCACAAGCGCGTGGAGCAAAAGGGTCGCTTCACCATCACTGAGATCGTCCCCGTCTCGTCCTGCTCGTCACGCCTTCCGTCGCCAGCGTTCCAGGACGACGAGGCACTCGTGGACAGCACAATGGCTACACTTTTGCCGCAGCCAGATTTCGCCTTGTCAAGTGGCAATCGATAGTGAGGTGGTCACGGCCATTTTAACAAAAGATGCGGATTATTTGAAGAGCGACGAGACGCCCGAGGGCTCCCAGACGCAACAGGCGGAGACGGTCGTGATGGTGCCTGTCGAAGCGGATCGCGATCTCGCGACTGAAGTGCGTAGCTCTTGGTGTTGTTGTACTGCATCTGGTTAACTCGAGCTCGTATCGTGAAGTTGTTTGTTGCAAAAGTTGTGATGGCACTAAGAGCCTTAAACGTGATGGATGATGGTTGTATACTTGTAGGCAGAAGCTGTTGCAAGGGACGTCACAAGTGAGTGGCCGTCCTCTACTACTGCTACTACCTCAGCTCCTGGTTCACCGTTACGAAAGTTCTCGACGTTGAAGAAAAGTCGTGACGGCATGCAGCGTGCTGCTCGACGGTGACCTTTTTTAGAGTTGATGCGGTTGTTCCATTGGAAACGTTTGGCTCATGTAGCTGTGCTGTGTCTTCGGTATGCTCTTGTGTCGTTTTACTTGCAAGGATCAAGCGACGAGGACGTTTTACGATAATTGAAATGGCGTCTGATTCGCCTACGTCGAGGAAGAACTCGGATGAAGTACTTGCTCACGAAAATGAAAAGGTTAGAGCTGCAAGAAGTCTAATGCTGTCGCCCTGTGTGTATATGCAGCAGTTGTACGATCATCGAGTGGCCACCACAACGTCGACCGAAGGATCTTCGGGTAGAATTGCTCCGCAGCACCACAGCTGCAGCTTCGAACCCGTTGAACGTCGCGCTAAACCCAAGCGGGCGCCGCGGTCTATGTCTCGTCTTCGACCGCCCTCCTCCTATCGTCGATCGCGACGGCAAACGGAAGGTCTATTAACAGAATACGTGGAAATGGCGAGAACCCCTACCGACCAGCAACAGCAGCAGAAAACAGCAGCTTGTGCTGAGCTTCAGAACATGCTACTTGCTGAGAGCATCGATGCGCTGGCGAAAGTTTCCTTGACAGGTGCTGTTGGTGACAGTACGGGTGCTGCACCGATCTTGAGCGCCAGCGCGCCAGTATCCATGGCTAGCGTAACAACACCCGACAGCGAACGGGCTAGCACGGTCCCAACGCCTGCTGTTCGACCTGTTATGCCGCCTCCACAGCATGTCAAGGGCTGTGCGATGAATGGCAGCACGGGTCCATCGCAAACGTCACCACAAGCTATTTCAGCCGCCCAGTTTCTGCAGCAGCAGCGAACGATAGCCTCTCTTGTCCGACAACAGCACGGTTTGAAGCAGATCATTGGCGTGCTGCGAGAACAGCAGCAACAACTCATGTCCATTCCATCGCAGCTCAGTGAGCTCAACGGACCGAGCGCGAGTTGGTACGTCTGCATTTGATTTCCAGAAGATGCCAGATTTTTGTATCAAATGATTGTGTATCTTGCCTGGATTCTGTAGCGACGACGGTCGGACTAAAGATGAGGAGATGGTAAATCTGTCGTGGTTCTGCAACGCATGTATGTGTTGTTGGGGCTAATTTTCTGGTCGTTGTTGTGGCTAGCGTGTACTTCACACGAAACTCGAGTCGTTAACACGATCCAATGAGTCACTGCATTCGCTGTTGGACGTTGCAGAGCAGGAAGTGCGTCATCGCACATTGCAACTCGAATGTTTGTCGGAGGAGAACGATGTGCTTCGTCACCGCTGTGGACAGCTGGAGCTTTTTCTGCAAGGGCGTCGGGCTGGAGGCTAAGCTTACGCCGACTCTGAACTCGTTAAATAGATGAACGCAGGCTACGCCCGGTACTGGAAAAGATGTCGAGCATCTTTTGAAATCAGCAGGAGTAGCTCGAGACTTCTTAAATCGCTATTGACGCGAATTTTGCTAAACAATGAAGACAAAATTTACCGCTTCAGTTGTTTTGGCTGGTGATGTGAATGAGTGGCAGGACAAACGTGAAAGTAGGATGACGGTCTAAACTTAGGCAGTCAAAAGGAGCAAGTCGCTGAACGGGATACAGCAAGTGGCGGATCCATTTTTGTCAAGACGCCAGGAAAAGTCAACGTGATTTGAGGTGTGTGCTATATCACTATTACCAAGTAATTCGTTTTCTTGGGCACTGCACTCAGTCGGGTATATCCGCACGCGAACCATCTGCTCTCGAATGAAACGCTGCGGTGATCCGTTCCCAACCAGCCTGAGATACTCCAGCGGGTTCGCTGTTTGACCGACCATCTCGTGTCGATGGCGACGGCGTTTCTCAGCACTAACGTCTGAGAAGAGGGTCAAGTTTTCTCAGTTTTTACACGGTAAGCAGTCGAGACTGAACTGACACGCGTTGGACGAAAGCCATGCAAGTAGGACCTGTGCTACAGAGCAAAGCCTCACTGAACCCCATGCCAGGACGTGGCGGCGGACACAAAGACAGGTTGAAGAGGATTGTTCGAGACGAGTGTGCCCACCTTGTCGGTTGCGGCAGCACGTCAATAGCAAGGGTGTTGCAAGTCCAGATGGGGCCGAGACAAGTCGAGATGCCCGGTCGGCTCAGTGCACACGGCAACAGCTAACATCAAGTGGACGAAAAGGCGGTGGACGTGAAATTCGTTGAGGGAGATGGACGTCGTCCAACGCGACTGCCGCAACGACGAGCGGGTGGGCAAGTGACGTGCACAGCTCAGGAGTGAGTGAGTGGATGGGCAGTGGCCAACCACAGTCGACTGTCGCGTCTGACAAGTAAGTACAAGTGATGCGTCAACGGTATCTTCGTGACTACAGCTGCAGCCACTTGGCACGTACTCGGTGCATCTGGTGAAAGGAGAACATGAGTGTGAAGAAACTTGCGTGCGAGAAGGAGGAGGGACACTCCATTCGGCGATTAAGCAATGCAATGATACGTAAAGTATCTTGCAAGATCAAGACCATGGAAATGGGAGGAGTGTCAGTGAACGCGTCACGAATTGGGTGGCTGTGGTGAGTGCGCAGTCGAGAATAAGGTCCAGTTCGTAGCCAGATGTCGACGTAAAAGCCGAAGAGAGCGAGCGTCTAGAAGTGCGATGCGGGATGAACACGCGCGACAAGTTGCGCGCCGCAAAACAACACCAAGGAACAGCACAACCGAAAGAACAAGACGCCAGTTGTCGCGCATTCTCTCTTCGGTATCCAGTTTTCGCCGTGTGCGACAAGGCAGTAGAGTCTCGCACTTGTAAGTGTCGTGACGATCTCGCCGGTCGGAATCCGCGTGTGGGTTGCACCCATCTGAACCGTCGACCATTTGCTTCTTCTGAGACTGTCAGAGTCCTACCACCATCAGTGACGACGGACGACATTGCTGAAGCTCCGAGCTTTTGGTTCGGTGACCGACCAGCTGAGAGAGAGGCTCGTAGATCGATAGGCAGCCAGCCACATCTCCACGAGCCACAACAGCTGACATGTCGCGGGTCGACTCTACTAGCTGCCACGACGCTCATCGCAAAGATTCGGCGGCTCCTCGTCTGCCGAGGAGTCCAAAAAAGGAACAGGCGCTACTGACGAATCGCTGCTTCCGACGAACGGTTTCTGACCATCCAGTGGAAAATCCGGTACGACTACTGCCCCCCCCTCCTGGGTTCGCTTCGCGTGCCCCTTCTCCCCTCCCGCCGCTTCCCTCTCAGTTCAGTCTGTCAAACAGAACTCGTGCGTTCTAAAAGTACGGCTTTCAAACCGAATTTCAGACCGACGTCGCTCGGAGCTTAATGTATACGTCTACATCTCGCGTTTCCGTAATCCGACCTTAAATCGCAGAGTATCAGGTTTCACAGACTCCTTCCCTCGACGTTCAGCTCCCGCTGCCGCCACCGCCACCACAAGCGCACCAATCCTCACAGGTCCGTCCGGCCCAACTGCCCTGTTTCTGTGTTTCGCCACTTCTGTTTTAGGTCGTTTCTAATGCCTCATTTCGCAACCCGCCACCGTGGACGTCCATCCCGTGCGAGACGATCGCGGAAGCGCCGACAGGGCGACCCCCAGCCAGCACCCGCCGCCGCCCAGCCGCCCAGCCAGCGACTGCCTCTCACAGCCGCCAAGTCCTTTTTCTCACGTCATGGTCACGCCGCGTGTGACGCCCATTCGCTCCGACAGCGTCGACCACAGGGCGACGAGGAAGACGTCGATGAACGACGTGCCAGGCGAGCCGGACGAGGCGCCTTTGCTGGACAAGGACAAGCGCAGGGACGAAGTCGCGTGCAGTGATGACGACGACGACGATACAGTGCCGCTCGGGGTGGCTGTGAATACCCGCAATTATCAGACGTTGATGGCCAATTTGGCTCGTCGGACATCTGATTCGACGCCTCGAGGACGTTGCGGACACGTGGGTACAGTGTACCACCCGAAGAAGCTCCCGCTTCGACCGGGGAGTCCAACACGAAATGAAAAGCTGGCGGCAGCTGGCCAGGAAAACGACCGAGGGGAAGACGTGGCGGTCGTGGGCGTGCCAGTAGATACGAGGAACTACGAGGCTATTGTGAGTGGCTCTCGTCCCATTCGGTCGGACCCGGGGACGTTCAATTTGCTCAATCGACGGGCGACAGTTTCGACCATGACGCAGTTTGTAGATGGACGAGAGGAGGACGGTCCTCCGACTCGACCAGAGGGACAAGACAACGACGATGGTGACCGTCATGGAGAAGAAGATGCGGTGATGGGACTTCCTATTACCACACGGAACTATGTGGCGTATCTAGCAGGGGAGCAAGGACCGGGAATACAGCAAACAGGTCATCGGCATCGAGGCTATAGCACGCTCGTGTCGGAGAGAGAGGTCCGTGAACCGCGTGTGAGCGACCCGTACGTGTCATCTTCACATCGACAGCAGTCTCCTTCTGATTCATGCACTAGTCGCAAGGATACACGCCCGTCGTGCTTTGACAACCGCCGTGCATCAAACGCAGCGGTTGTCCCTCATGCAGGCTGGGTCTTTGTTCAGCGTGGTGCCTTTAGGTCGTGGAAACGATACTACGCAGTACTGTCGGGGTCCGAGTTCAAGTTTAGCAAAGGGATGGGTCAGTCACCGAAAGGGTTTGGGTTTCTAGTGTCTGTAAAGCGAATGAAGGACTTACCCTGCGGACTGCACCTCGAGTTTGACGATGGCAGCGTACTTCAAATCCGTTGTCCGAGTGACCTTGAGTACGAACATTGGCTAAGGGCGATGGAAAAGACTATTGAACGCAATCAGAACTTCAACTCGCAATCGAAGACATCGTACACACTCACGGCGTCGGAGCAACACGAGGGGTATATGTTCAAGCAGGAGAAAAACAAAGCATGGAAGCGATGTTTCTTCGTCGTGCGTATTGAGGGCTACATCGAGTGCCGAGATGGTGAGTACGGTATACCTGATCGGAAGTATTCTGGCTACATCAAGGCTGTATCGTTTGCAGACTGCCACGCAAACGGACTAGCGATTCAGCTCTGCACGGACGTGTCTATGGTGTGCTACGCAGATTCGTACGACGAGCAAATGCTTTGGTATGGTGCTCTATCAGCGGGGGCTAGCGCGAATGAGAGGTTAGCGCAGCCAAAGATGTCAGTAAAGAGTTGTTACGTGCAAACAGCAGTGACGAACTATGCAGGGTGGCTGTGGAAGCAGGCAGGATTATTTAAGGGCTGGAAGCGGTGGTACTTCACGTTGCATGGCGCGGAACTGGGTTATGCGAAGGACACGAACTCAAAGACCGTGCTTTGCGATAAGGCGCATTCAGTTGAAGTGTGGGAAGGCCATGCAAATGGGCTGTTGATCCGCCTAATAAGTGGACGTGTTTGGAAAGTTCACGCCGAGACCTACGAAACAGCCAAGCGGTGGCGCTCCGTCATCAGTAGTGCCTGTCGGCACGCTGAAACATTCAACCTGAAAAAGTACTTGAATAGCCGCCGCCGCAAGAAATTGACGCCTGTGTTTGGTGGATGGCTTACCGAGATGAGAAAAGGCTTATGTTTGCGCCGCTTTTTCGTGGTGGATGGCGCAATGCTGGGGGCTGCCAATGACGTCGACAACCAGCTTGAGCGTCTTGGCACCGTCGTGGACGTGGGTTCGACGCGTGATTTGGAACACGGTATGATATTTACGCTTGCCAATGGAACGCAGTTGAAGGTCAATTGCGACTCGTTGGCTGATTCCAGGTGCTGGTACGAGTGTTTGAGTTTCTCGCTCAAGTAGCGTGCGCCTGTGACTTATGTAAGAAAGTGGTAGTTCCGGAATACCGAAGCTTGATGCGGTGGTCGTTCGTGAAGCAGATAGTAAAAATATTTAGTTGTTGTAACCATGTGACGACGTTCTTTGGCACTGTACACTGGCAGTTCTTGCTGCGGGCCGTCTGCTGCTCCATGATTTTTGCGGTCCAACAACTTGATCGCAATGAAGCATCTAGCTGGCTCATTTAGTGCTACGGAATAGTTGTGGTCATGGCGGCGGTATTGTAGCACAGTGCTAAGGCTCCATTACAGATTGTCTGCCCGTGCGCAAGTGGCAGCTGGATGTGCCATCAAGATCAGCACAAGATAGGCCTCTTCAAGCCAACAGCAAGAAGCTGAGTCGCTTACTGCCGTGATGGTTGCAACCACAGCAGCAACAACGTGCGATACATTCGTGAAAAATACAACGTGAAAAGCTGTCGTCGAACAGCAGTCGATTATCGACAGGCTTTTTAAAGTCCACAGCCACTATTCCCCATCATCAAGAGATGGCGTAGCTTTATTCACGTACGCCACATGGCTGCTGTCCTTGATCTCTTCAGGATCATTGCTGTTTTCCACATCACTGTCGTCACTGTCATCCACGAGGGGAGGAAGTGTACGACCAGCAAACGCTTGTGTTTCGTGAGGGGGTTGACCGTCTTGACCCGGTCGTTTGTCGTCGTCATCGACTTCACTTCCAGAGGACGAGGAACCTTCCTCAAGCCACTCTTGGAACTTCCCTGCACGCTTGTCCTCCTCATTCTTGCTTTCACGATGTGTGTAATCTGTGCCATCCCAGAACCCACACTCGAGTTTGCGTCCTGCAAAAAACCGTCCGTTCATGACTTCAATACACCGAGCAGCACTGCCGCTCGAAGCGAACTTGACTACTACTACACCATCCACGTGCTTGGCAAAGAGTGTGATTTTCGACACTTCGCCAATCTTGGAGCATTCATCATGAATGTCTTCTTGCAATTCTTTTGCAAATGCTTCATCTGCTCATTGATTAGCACCTAGTGAGTTGCCTGTGCATCGACAATTCATCAACCAGCTTACCTTCAATCTCAGCCGGGGTGAACATGTGCTTTATCACAACAATGCGCAGACCGGCGGGCTCACTAACCTCACCTTCATTCCACGATAGCGCCTAGCAAAAGCGAGACAGAATGTCAGACACACTCATGGTACAATGTACGCTGCCACAATTTTAGCATACCTTTTCCTTTTCAAACATTTTAATCTTTGCTCGTGCGTCAATTTTAGGTTTCTTCCGCTTGACAAAATCTTCCCCTTTCTGCTTGAATTCTGCCGGGGCGACATCAATGGGCCACCTACAAGAGTTTGTATGGCAAGTGGCGTCTGTCAATCATAGCGACAACGCAGTGACGTCCGATCAGCAGCACCGAACGTACTCGGGTCGTATCTGTGATTTGTCGAGTAGCTGTGCGGCCAGTTCTACCGATGCCTCTTTCATATAGCATACTGATCCATCACCCTACAGGCAACAATGCACACATCGTTAATCAGTACAGAGATTGGGAGATACGTTCTGCTGCAGCAACTTACGTTTAACCCCCCACTCTCTTTATTTTGGTAAAGCTTAATGCGTGGGTCACCAGTAATGACATCGGCCTGGATCACACCGCACTTTGCAAAATGGTCGTGTACCTCTTGCACTGTGATATCCAGTGGCAGACCGTTTACGTACACCCACGTGTTACTTTTGCTCCTCTTCCACTTATCACTCTTCTTCTTCTTTTTCGCCCTGCGCTTTTTCAGCAACGTCCGCATCCACTGCCACGTTCGCGGTTGTTGGATCAACAGATGTTGGTTCCACAGTCGCAGCTGGATCCCCGCTAGTGCTAGTACTCTGTTCGTCTTTTTTCTTGTTACCGTCTGTTACACTTGGCTGACCATCTTCGTGTTTATCGGCACTCGAGTCCACCATCGTCTCTTGCAAAGATGCCAACTCTTCCTCGATTTTTTCTTCGGGTGTAACAAACGTTTTTGATTCAGCATCAAACACATACTGCTTGCCATCTTCCGCAACAAGAGCGTCAGACAACCTATATACAACACATAGCACGTCAGCAAACATACAAAAACTACAACACCACCACCCAAAGCAAAACGATCACATGCCCATACCCTTTTTCAAAGACTTGGTGCTCAATCGGCATCTTCTCGGCTTGCTCTTGCAGCTCGGCTTCACGATCCAAATCACTGTTCGCTTCTTGTAGAAACTCTTTCAGTGATGGCACCTCACCTACACACAGAATAACAGCAGAAGCATTGTGTCACTACAGCAAATACAACCAAGCAGCAAACACGAAAGCAACGCGAACGCACGACCCACCAATGGGTTTCCAGCCATCCAGCTTTTGACTCCAGACGAGCGTCATACCGTCCACTTCTCCGTCCACAAAGAGATGCACGAGCTGCTGCGTCGTCACTGGACCCGTCCGTGTTGCTTCCTGATCATCACTTGTCGTTCCTTCGGCCATGCAGTACCAGGTATCCAACCAGACCTGACAGTAGGTGGCCAATGGCTCGACACTGGCGATTGCCGCCCACTCCGAGAGCCGCTGGGTCCACACCAGCTGCTGTGATTGCACAATACTCTTGCGCAGTAGTTTCTTCAGCACTGGAGTAGACACAGGGCCCTTCTGCTGTCCAGTGACGGCGTCCAGGTACAGCCACAGCTCGGCCGACGGCGCCATTCCCGTGACGGAGCTCGCAAGTTGATTCGAATAGAATCGAAAGCTATTTCAGCCAATCCAATGACGACCACAACGGTATTTTGTAGCCAAGCATCACTGATACCGGTTTTTCACCACATGGCTACGGTTGACGAAGCGCTCGTCAAAGTCAACAACGAGTCCCACTACTACTACTACGCTACTACTACTACGCTACTACTATTCCTTCTATTTCAATTACTACTTCTACTACTACTATTACTTCCACGATTACTACTTTTCATGACAATAACACAAAGTCAGTCAGCGACCATGACGTCGCATGCTTCTGATACAGAGCGTGGCCGTGACGACGTCGTGGAGGTTGGCTATGAGCCACTAGACAGTCAGCGAATCGTGGACCTCGTAACAGACGCCCGAGCGGGTGCGATCTCGACGTTCGTTGGTACTACGCGGAACAACTTCCAAGGTGAGAGGAGCGCCACAAGGACATAGAGTAAAAGCTCGACCTCGTAGGAGCTGATCTGTGTCGATCTAATCTGATGCCGTGACCTGTAACAATTGATATGCAGGCAAAAAAGTGGTGCGACTCGAGTACGAGGGCTACGCGCCCATGGCCATGTCGGAGCTGCACAAGATCTGCGGCGCTATCCGCGGCAAGTGGCCAGACGTTGTGCGTGTGGCGCTGTGCCATCGGCTTGGAGTTGTCAACGTGACTGAGGCCAGTGTTATTGTCGCAGTGAGCTCACCGCATCGACGGGAGGCGCTGGAAGCTTGTGCGTTTGCCATTGATCGACTTAAAGCCACAGTACCCATTTGGAAATGCGAACAGTATGAAGGCGACGAGCGTATGTGGAAGGAGAATCTCGAGTGGAGGGATGGGGCTGCTGTGCGTGCGTCGTGTTGTAGCAAGAAACAAGCCATGGTGCCAGCGGAGAAGACGTGACTGTTTTGATCAAAGTGTGAGTATTGACAGTAGACGGCTCGTCTGCTCAGGTAAGTTCTCTTCGTGACGTCAACTTGTCCTAAATAGACTGGGTGTGGCCATTGTTCGCTACATTTGCTGTCGGCAAACAGCTTGATCGCACTGGTCGTCACAACGCTGTTCAAGGGCTTTGCTACCAGCTTCTTATTCTGCAAGAATACGGCATAAGAAGCTGATAGCGAAGCCCTTGAAAGCAGATCTTAATCAGGTGTCCGAGATTGAGCCGTAACGCTAAGAAACAGACCTGCTCTGACAGCAGAACGTCGTCCAGTCGGACGGAAGGCTACCAAAGCAGTGACGAAGTCGAACTCCAACCAGCAATACAAGCATTCGATAACAACGAGCCCAGCAGTCATGCACAAGAAAGTATACTGGATAATGGCAGATTACAAAGTACAGACAGCCGCACGCGACTCTTTAGCTGACCATCGAGCGTCATTTAATCGCACTCGGCTCAGCACTAGCTCACACACCTTTCTTGCGCAGCTGGTGAAAGTGCACAAACTTGGGCTTCCTCTTCCTCTTTCGGTCTTTCTTGTCCTTCTTCACGTCTGTCATTGGGACGTCAACCTCCTGGTCCAGCCCAGCCGTGTCCTTTGGCGCAGAGTCTGACACGACTCCAGTGATAACACCACTAGACATTGGCACTGATGTACCCATCAGTTTCTTGAGATTGGCTACTGATGTGCCAGTACCTACGACAGCGACAGAAATAAAGCGGTTAAGAGCATTGCAGCGGCAGTAAAAACTACCAATTAAAAGAGTCCGCACCTTGCGCAGCAATCGCATTCTTGAGATTCTCCTGGATCTTGGCCTCGCGGATCGCCTCGTGGGGCACGCCGATGCGTTTGCGCAGTTCCGTGCGGAACTTGCGCTTGATCTTCGAGCGCAGGCTCTTGGCCATCGTGTCGTCGGCGATGCAGCTGAAAGTGCCTTTGATCAAGCGATTTCCCGTCCCGTAGCGACCAATCAAGATTTTGTAGGAAGCGATTGGCTAATATGCTGGAATTGGAGCGATATGATTGATTGAAATGAAGTAGCTGTGACGTGTGAGATAGCGCGGATCGGTATGGGCCGAGATGGGCACATTTGACAAATTTGCACATTTGAATCACTGCAATATGTGTAAATAGCGCTTGTGTTACTGTCAGTAGTAGCGAGTGCGATGCGAATGTCGTACGCTGTGTGCTGGATGGACCCTGTGCAGAAAGAGCTTTATTAATTATAAAGAAGCGTGATTTCTGACAAATTAAGACAAACAAATAATTACGCTTTTTCACAATTTACCTTGCGGAACGAAAACAGTCGACAAATAGTGCATATTTGTCGATCGTTTTCGTTTGGCAAGATACAAATTTGCCTAACAATCATTCAGTCAAAAGCGTAGCTTTTTGTGATAAGATAGGGGAGCAAGCTCTGGAGCTCGCCCCCTGATACAAGTAATTTAGTTCATAGAACTGAAATACGTTGAATAGACTATACGATAGTAGCCACTGAAGAATGAGAATGATGCTGTTAATGTTAGAATTTACCTAGTAGAGTTGGCTACGGCAACGCGACCGGCCTTTGCTTAAAAGCGTCCAGTACTTGCTTTTATGTGATCAAATTCACCTTTGATCGATCCTGAGCCAATCAGGAACGTGCATCACAATATCGACCCAGCCATAGAGTGACATCTATCACGCTTATCGACCTGTGAGAAGGGGACAGGCTCGATTGCACTTGGTACGTGAATGTACACCCAACTGCGTTTTATCCAGAATGCACACAGAAGGACACACACAGACCGATAGGTACGATTTAAAAGGTTGGCATTCAACCTCACACTCGCGAATAGCTTCACCCTTCGGGCTCGCAGCAAATAGAAAAAAGTGGCATGATCCTCCCTTCTACAAGCATTCTACATGCTCTACAAAGTGCTTTTTTGCGACATTACTCGTAAGCACTCGACCAGCTTCAACAACTTCATCGCTTTAGAGAGCACGACTGGGCACCGGATAACAACGCAACGGATCTTCGTACCACTCACTCTGCACACGTCACATAAAATCAACAAGTACTCAGAACGTACCATTTTCCACAGGTAGTCCCGCGGCCACAATCACGGACTAAACCCTCTGCCATGTACCGAATAATCCCATGTCCATCACTTCTTGCAGGTACCAATGATGCAGCTCGTGATTAGAAGCAGCACCATAGCTGCTCGCTGCAACGTCACCAACTTGACTCTGGCATTTGGCTCAATCTCAAACCATGTTCCACATCAAGTCAATTGCCTCGACTTTGCCTCGCTTCCTGCGTCGCCAGTGCCTGTCGACTGCCTCGTCCAACTGCTTCCCGGGCACGTCGATGCCCTTTGTACCCACCGTGGTGTTCCGAGACCCTAAACACGACGACGTTCTTCCGTGTTTCCGCAGTACGAGACTATGCGACATGCGATGCTCAAATAGTCCAGACCGGAAGTGCTTGCATTGACGCTGTCCCTTTTCTGCTCGTCTCGTCTCTTTTTGCACCAGTTATCAATGAAGACGGAGACGTTATGGACGGGGCCACGGACCCGCAGCTCAGTCGGGCTCTGTGCACGAAGATTTACAGCCAAATGATTCGCCTAAATGTTCGTGTTTTATTTTCGATACTGTTGTGTTAGATGTGGGTGTTTGTGTTTGCTTTTCGCTAACTTTTTGTACTATTTTTTGGGGTAACATGGTGATTTTGTGGATTGATCGATTACCTCGCTGGATCACATGCCAATCATGACCTGGTGCAGACAATGGACAATATCCTGTACGACGCGCAGCGTCAAGGACGTATTTCGTTCTACATGACGTCGTTTGGCGAGGAAGCCATTTCTTTTGGTAGTGCCTCGGCTTTGCAGCTTCGAGACATGGTGTTTGCGCAGTACCGGGAGCCAGGTGTGCTCATGTGGCGAGGGTTTTCACTCCAGGAGTTTGCCGATCAGTGTTTTGGTAACAAGGACGGACATGGCAAAGGCCGTCAGATGCCGGTACATTATGGCTCCAAGCAGCTCAACCACCAGACCATCTCATCACCTTTGGCCACGCAGCTTCCCCAGGCATGATGCTTTGTTACTGCGACATGGCTATGCACGGAGAGGCGTACTGACATGCACTGTTCCTTTTGTTTCTGGTGAATTACTGACTTTTTAGGCTGCAGGAGCGGCGTATGCGTTCAAGCTGGCTAGAGAGGACCGTATTGCAGTCTGCTACTTTGGAGAAGGAGCGGCTAGTGAAGGCGACTTCCACGCTGCGCTGAACATTGCATCGACGAAGGATTGTCCGATTCTGTTCTTTGTCCGAAATAACGGCTTTGCTATCAGTACACCTACTGTCGAGCAGTTCCGCGGTGACGGTATTGCATCACGGGGCAGTGGATATGGGATTCCTGTCATGCGCGTGGATGGTAACGACTTCTTGGCTGTGCACGAAGTCACGCGACGTGCTCGTGAGTTTATTTTGAAGGAGAACCGACCAGTGCTAATTGAAGCCATGTCCTACCGCCAAGGCCACCACTCGACTTCGGATGACTCGACGCAGTACCGTGCTGTGGCTGAGATTAAGCACTGGAAGGAGGCTTGTGATTCGATCGACAGGACGAAGCGCTATTTGCTGGCAAGTAGACACTGATATGGACGGTAAGGAAACGTGAAGACGTTGAACTAACCCGTTCATCTTGTCTTGATAGAAACGCGGGTGGATTACAGAGGAGCAGGACCGACACATGCAAGATCAGGAACGGACCAATGTACTCGCTGCACTACAGCTAGCCGAGACAAAAGAGCGGCCTTCGTTGGAAACGATGTTCGAAGACGTGTACGACGTCAAGACGCCGCATCTTATCGTACGTTTTGTCGACTTATCCACAGACTCTTTCGATGGCGACACTTATTGCTTGTGGTGCACCAGGAGCAAGAACGTGAGATGTTGGACCACGTTGCAAAGTATCCTGACTACTACTACGTTGAAGAGCACTAGCTGCGTAAAAGAGCGGAGTACAGCGGTGAGCCGCCATGTGCTTGTGAGTCATCAAGCGCCACAAGCAAGCATGGCAAAAGTGCGATGATACTCTATAACGAATACGGATGTTGGCACTAAACTTGGCTGGGCCCATTTTGACGTGATACAGACAATGTCGTTTCACGGAAAACTTTGGGTTGGTTTGAGGAAAAGTCATAAAGTCAACAAAACTGCTACGCGTGACGCCCACATGGAGATGATAAAGATCGCCACTTGCACTCCAAGCTCATCACTTGCTTCAAACAGGCCGGTCCGACAGATCGCGCATCATCCATTCTTTCTGTCAGTGACTCTGACATGAGGATCTTTAGTTGCGTCTTCTCGCTGTTATTTTCTTCACGATATGATCCGATAGTAGCGCACGCAGGCGTTCACAGTCTTGGGTATCCAGTATTTCCACGGTAGAACTTGCTAACCTGACATGACCAAATTCAAAAGTCGACGACCAACCAGAAGAAAAGCTCATCATGGCTACAACCTTGGTACGTGGAGTTTGCCTCCCACTGGTAACACAGTGCATCAGCCTGGACTCCTTCTTCATCGATTCGCGGTTGTAAATCCAGTCTATTTTGTGCATATCAGTGGCTCCCACTGCCTTTCAAAGCTGTCCAGTCGATGCTGTGTGCCACTCCTGAGCCGAGCGCGCCCTGTCACAGCGCGCTTTTTGGGACGAGTTTACGTAGTAGCGAGCTTACACCTTTGCCAGCGATACCTCTTGGTGGAGCTGAGTATGTGCAGACGTGAAAGAATCGTACTCGGTAGCTCTGTATTTGTTCGGTTGCTGCCGAGTCGCAATTTCTTTCAACTCAGGAACGTGCACAAAGTCTTTACCTGGTATCAAAGTCACATTAGGATGAGAGCATTGACACGCCGACCATAGGGACGAGAGCACGACTAAGTCAAATTAGTTGAAGGTACTGTCATAGCTCACTCACACATTCGAATTGCGTCCGTCCACATATTATGTTGGCCATCTGATCGGACGATCAAGCAACCATCGTGGCGCTGGTCTAGAGTGCAGCACCTCCGTGTTGAACCAAGGTCGTCGTATAAGACGTGAAACACTCATTGCTTCTATCGAAATTGGCATTGAGAGCACTTTCAATGGCTGTTTTTTTTTTTGAACATGTCGTTGTGGCCATCGCTGAACCCAGTTCTCCACCTACCCTTCAATTCGTCTTTTGTTGCCTAAACACTTGCTTTATTACTGAAGATTGAGTATGCAATGCACCCGTCGAAAATCCACAAAAGAGATTCGTACCTCGCGCTTGTCGTGTATATTCTGTAAACTGCTCGTGCTGAGTGTCCGGGTTGACAACCCTTTCGATTTTGAGCACTTTTAAATGTAACTGAAAAGTACTTCTCGAAGTTTGACTCTTTTGTGTTACGTGTTTTTCTTCGTACAATTGCCAAATGTCAATTCTCTCTCTAATAACTTGTAGTCTCGGTAAGGCACTTTCTATACGTTAGTAGAGGCTATTAGTTATTGCGATCATGGAGGATGAAGGTATTACACCGATGACCGCACTTCGTGTCGGTTCAGAATTAGTGCGGTCCACATTAGTCTATGCCCTGAGAGAGTCGTGAATTGGGAGGTTGACAAACAGTGCGGACTCCGCACGGACTTTCCAAAGTTTGTAGCTGATAGACTATACAGTATACTGACGTTAAAATCACTCTAATTTTGACTGTGTTCGTGCTTGTATGGGTGGTTTAAATCAGTGTCAGGCGTTGAGCTCTCCATTGCCGATCATCGCTGCTTTTGCACGTACTGTCGGCGCTAATGTCCCAGCAGGCGATGTCGATGATGAGAAACTTGATGACAACGAAGATGTTGGAGAGGGGAGAAGAGAAGATTAAAGATGATGATCAAGATCACGACGATCAAATCGTCAACAAGCGCAAGTGCAAGCTTCATCAGGTTGTATCGAAACGGCGCGGCTCCTTGTATTTAGTTGGATGATAACTGATGCAGACCAGAATGATGAACAAGGCTTGCTCCTATGAGCGATCGCCAAATGTCCCTCAAAGTTCCGTGGAAAATACAATTTATGTTGAATTGAGCGTTTAAAAACAATGGTATTGACATTGACTGTACGCAGGCCAATCACACCAAGGCCACAAGGTGGTGGAAGATGTGCGATAAAGTTGGTAATTATAGCGGTACAAATTTAAAGTTAATATCAGAATTCGTGCCATCAGCTCGAAAGAGGGTCGACCTTAAGGATGTTGCTGAAAGAGGACGAAACCGATCTGAATGGGTATCCTACTGGTAGGTCGAGTTGCTGTCCGATTTCACGCAGCTTAAGGCAGCTGGAGTCAAGTTCTCTCCGGCCCTAATCGGTCAACCTGCTCACACTGCCATGAAAAATGCGCCATTATACAATTCCAACTTCTTTGATTCATTCGACGATAAACCTATCATCGACAAAATCAAGTCACGATAAATTCAGCAGTGCATTGTATATAGTATGTTTACACTTGTGCACACATAAATTTTACTAATTGACTTCGTTTGCTGCGATAAAAGTTGCATCAAATAGTCCATCGAGCACGTTTGCTGCGATAGGAGTTGCATCAAATAGTCCATCGAGCACAGACCATGAAGCTTATAATCAGCGCCGCGAAGCAGGGCCATATCGAGAAAACGGTTGCATACCATTTGGGCGAGCTACGCCTGGTTTCGAGTCAGTAGACCTGACCAAAGACCTGCTTTGTAATTTGGACAAGACTTATTTCGCGATCAACTGCAACAACGGCCGTACAATTAGTTTTCCTGACAAAACAGAGTTTAATTACGACCGTATTGTGTTGGGTGGGATCGAGGTGACCATGATGGTCTACATCACGGGCGGTTCGCGTGAGCGAATTGGTGCACCCATGATGATCTTCCAAAATCCCAAATCGATCATAGCCTATAAATGGTCTTTCAAAAGACGTGCCTAGTGCTTCATACCAACTTGGGACTAAAGGAAGGAATTACAAAATGTTTGGGGTCTCATGCTTCATGAGTTATCTATAGTGCTCCCTATTAATTTCTACTACAATCGTAAGTATTTCTTCACAGGTTTGGCGAGCCATTCGCATTCAGGGTAGATGGTGCTGGAAGAAAGACAGTCATCAATATGGACAACTGTGCCAGTCACAACGACAGTCCAAATGTACGATGATGTTCTCTTGAAGACCAACACGGAACTACGCTAATTTCCACCCCGCATGGACGATCGTGTTCAGCGTTCTGACTCCTCCGTCATCTCAAACATCAGGGACGAATGGATCCGATTGTGAGGGTGTCGAGAAGATGCGCACGATAAAATAGGCGACTGGTCAGACACCGTGCGTAAAAAAGGGTCTTGCTCTGGAAGCTGAGAAACCCGAGGTAGTGCTTCTTCTTGGAGCTCGCTGCCACAGCCGTACGCGCGGCTAAGGGATGCGCAACAGTTGCGGCTTGACATACGCTCGAAAGTCTATGATTCGTTGTGGTGTGGTCCTTGATGTCAGTAATCGATGGCACAAATCACACTTGACACCGTAACTGCAACAAATTATTGGCAAATATCGCATCTACTACGATGGCACTCCTATTAAACTAGGCTTTGACTCGTGTAACCAAATTCAGTATTACATACTGCGCTGTTTCTGCTTTTACGAATCCGCACTAGTTCTCCGCGTTCAACCTTAGTACTGTCCGTACAAAATCTCCAAGCTCATAATTAGTGCGGATTCATCAATAGTGTGTTACGCACTAATACCTGTGAGAGACCTAAGAATAGATGGTTGATAAATAGTATGGTCCGCAATAATTACGGTCATCGGTGTAGTGACGGTGCGCATGGTGAATGCCGACCTTTTAAGTCGACTTATCTGTGCGTGTCGGTGTCTGTCAGTGCGTCCATAAATTACGCTAGTAGTACATTACACGCCATATCAATTGCAATTTAGTCCGGCCCCTCCTATAACGGGGCACCCTGAAGCTTGTACTGATGACAGTACAAGCTACTTATTCTGATGACAGAATAAGGCGGTGCCTCGGAACTTCACGTACACTGGTATGTGCAGAGGAAGACGGTAAGAAGAAGCGAGTACTTGGTTAAAAGTAGAACTGTATTTATAATAGGTAATGTCTGTTAATAAACCACTATTTATCCTCATCTAACTATGTCTGAATACAAATGTGCATATCAACTATCTGCTCACCACTCATTGCGTGCGTCTGTCGTGGCGCGTCTTCGTTGGTTGATATAATGGCCTATATCAACCAATTAGGAACTACTCGTAAGTGCTACAGAATATTGTCCTTCTGACAATACTCTGAGAATATGACTCTAATAGTTATATTCTATTAACAATTTCTTACAAATTGTTATGTAACGATTCACCCCGTTACGTCACCCCCCCTTAACCATCAGTCACTTTAGTGACTGATTGACTAAATGGATACTCGTCCCAAAATCATTTGGGACAGGGTTTGCACTTTTTGGTCCGAGTCCACTTTCCAACATCTCATCGCATGGTTAACAAGCCCATGCGATGCGCGAGCAAGGCCGCCGAGAGCGCGTCCGCACGTCTCTGTGCGGACGCCGAAGCAGAAACCACAGCAACTGATGTCTCATCGGTTGCTGAAGCGACCCAGCCTGTGTCACTTGGTGATGCAGGCGCTGGTCATGAAGACACTCATGTCTTCACAGAGTATGAGCTCGGTGTCTCGTACTCTCCTCATACGGAAGACGGATCCGTATCGACGGCGATCGAACCCAAGCCGCCTGCCAAGCGTGGCATGGACGGTGCTTTGCGTCGCAGCATCTTTGGTTCATCTGATGAATCAGATGAACCATCGCCGAAGCGAAGGCGCTCGAGGTCGCGAGACTCGGGCGCTAACAGTGGTGTCGGTTCTCCTATGGACACCACTTCGCAACGAGGTGCCAGTACTTCTGTCGGCACGTCGCAGGAAGAGCGGGATCGCAATGTCTTGCGTCTCGCTCCCGAGAAGAAGGCATGGATGCCTCCAAATTATGTCATGGATCACTTGTCGGCGACGACGAGTGATCGTTATCGAACACGGTTGTTCGATTCGTCAAGGATCCATCACCTTGACCCCAGCGCGAAAAACTATCGCGCTGAAAACGAATTCTTCATCGATGCTTTCTTTAGACATCGATGGTACAGTGGGAATCACAAGCGTGATGGTCCCTCACTTCTTCAAGCGTGGAACGCCTACATCCATAACCTTGAGGATGTAGGTCGTGACGCTTGGAACGACAAACTTATCAAAGCTCGTGATAAGTTTGAAAAGCGAACCCCGACAGGTGCACGCTACAAGCTGCATCGTCTGTCAAGGGAGAAAGGATTACCCTGCCTCTCTTGGGGAGACTCGTGCCCGTGTTGTGTGAACAACTCTGCACGAGCACCTAAGGAGGCTTACCTCCTTACTAGCCCGTGGTGGCGCGTACGTATCTCTACTGAGATGTACGAAGGGATTGACAACTTGAAATCCCTTTACGACCGTGCCGGGAAGACTTTCTCCGGCGGTCCTTCTGCAGCACAGAATGTGCCGCGTCGTACTGCTTAGCCAGACCTAGTACGTCGATCATCAGTTGGGAGCAGGGCTCCCAAGTATCCCAGGACGGGGGATAGCCGCACCACCGGACGAGATAACTCGTCCGACTTCCGTTCACGTCGCGGTGGTTCAACAGCTGCTCAACTAGATAGCGCTGGCCACCGCGAGAGTCCTCTAATGGAGGTGGAGGAGGAGGGAAAACGATCTCCAAACTATCGTGGGGATCCGTGTGTTTCCAAGAGCTTCTTTGATCGCGTAACTCAAGGGTTACGCGACGATCTCGAACATGAGCGGGACAGGCGTCTTCAAATGGCGGACACTGTCTCGAAGCATCGAGCTGAGTTTGCCTTTGCTCAGCTTGAGAACGAAAGAGCTCTGACATCTCTTCGTGACGAGCTAAGGGTAGCTCGTGGGATTGTTGATCGGTCTCGGGATGAGATAACTGCTCTTCAGACCCTTGTCGATGCCCACCATCGGGAGCACAAGGCTCTCTGCGAGATGCTTGAGCGCAAGGGCGTTCTTCATCGGAAGAAGCAGCGTACTGATGGTACGGCTTAAGCCGACCAACGTAAAACGTGGGATGCGTTCGCATCTTACGTGGCAACTCGATCGTTTATGCATTGCCTAGGCGGTGCAATACACGAAATGGGACGATGTACTTGGGTAGTAGGTTACAACTACCCAAGTTAGTCACTACATGCTTTGGTAGGTTAACCGTAGACAGTAGGACTAAGTCACCTTTATTAAATAAAAGAGTGTTTGCCCTTCCATTCTTGTCAGCGTTTTGCTTTTGCTTATCCACCGCTTCGGCGATGGAATCTTGCACAAAACGGACTACCGTTTCACGAGCCAGTATGAACTCATCTGATGACTCGTTAGCTTCAGTGCGCTGTGAGTGCACTGCAGCAACATCAACCTTTTCTTCAGTGAGGGCTTCCGCACTCTCAGTGGCATCATCTTCTTCGATATCGATGTTATCGATATCGGCATCAAACGCAATGACCTCTTCGTCAGAGCGTGATGAGCGTGAACCAAATCTGTTTTTGCTCGCGCGAGTCCCCCCCCCTTAAACCAGAGTTACACTCTAGTAAGGTGGGTACACGCGGATGGCGTAAGCCATTCACGTAAAACGGTGTATGTGTCGTGGACGCATGCACCGAGTTGTTAATGGCAAACTCTACCATTGGCAAAAACTCACTCCAACTCTTAAAGGAGTGTACGTATCCTCGAAGTATATCTTCAAGGACACGATTGGCACGTTCCGTCTGACCATCTGACTCTGGATGATCAGATGTCGACATCTTCAAGCGCGTTCCGAGTGATTTAAACACGGAACGCCAGAAATCAGCAGTGAATCGTGGATCTCTGTCTGATGTGAGTTCACGGGGCAACCCATGAAGTCGGAAGATGGTGTCAATAAAGACACAAGCACAGCCACTTGCCGTGATTGTCTCTGGTACAGCCACAAGGTGTACCATTTTGCTGAATCTGTCAACAAATACGAGAATACCCGTATTCCCGCGTGCGTCTTTGGGTAACCCGAAGACGAAATCCATTGAGATGGATTCCCAGCACTCAGCCGGAATCGGTAGAGGCTGTAAAGGTGCACGCAGTGAAGGACTTGACTTCACTCGTTGGCAGACTTCGTATGCGCGAACATACTTTCGCACAAACTGATACTGGCGGGGCCAGTAAAAGTCTCGACTCACCGTGAGATATGTCTTCTCCCGGCCACGATGTCCTCCTATAGGAGCATCGTGATACTCGAACATGATCCGCAAACGCAGACCAGTATCATCTGGAATGACAACACGTGGTCTGTCACCAGAAACTGCTGTATAATACAGTAAACCGTTGCGAGTAGTGTATCGATCTGATGCAGATCGATACGCAGACGACGATCGTTCCAACGATTCTCGAGATGGCTGGGAGAGATGTGTCAACAACTTCACAATCTCACCATCTTGGGCGTATGCCCGCCTCACATCATCATACAACGTTGTAGATGGGACTGAGGACGTCATAACCGCAACAGTGACTGTCTCACTGTTGGGTTTCGCGACTGTTTCAAAGTCGGGACGACGTGAGAGTGCATCAGCGACGACATTAAGTCGTCCTGGTTTGTACTCGACCGTAAAGTTGTATTCTGCAAAGAATGACAACCACCGCGCCATTCGTTGTAAAAGGTGCGGGCTGTTCACTGCCGTGCGTAATGACGCATGGTCAGTGTAAACAATGAAGGGTCTATCTCCTAATAGATAGACTCTGAACTTCGCGAGTGCATACTTCATGGCAAGGAGTTCCTTGTCATGCACTGGATAGTTCCGCTCAGCTGGTTGCAGCTGACGCTACTGATAGCAGACGACGCGTTCAACGACTTCAAGATCGTACTGCATTAATGCACAGCCGATTGCAAAATCGCTGGCATCACAGACCACATGAAATGGCCTGTCCTGATCGGCTATTGCTAGGACTGGGGATTGTATCAAGCTCTGCTTGATACCATCAAAGGAGCGCTGACATTCAGCGTTCCATAACCACCTCTCGTTCTTTTTCAACAAACGAGAGAGGTGCACAGTCATCTCGGCGTAATTGCGTGAATACTTATGCAAATACGCCGCTAGCCCAAGGAATTTTTGAAGACCTTTGACGTCAACCGGCACAGGCCAGTCGGTGATCGCCTTGATCTTTTCGGGATCAGGACGTACACCGTTCTTACCAACGATGCACCCAAGAAGTGGTATTTCGCTTGCTGCAAATATACACTTCTTGAGGTTTGCATACAATTGATGCTTTCGCATGATTGTAAGAACCTGTCGGAAGTGGTACCTGTGAATCTCAACGTCCGACTTTCCATCCATAGCCCGACTATGGATGAATACGTCATCGAAATAACTCGGCGCGAATTCTCGTACTGGTCTCAAAAGATGTGATACACATCTGTTGAACGTGGCAGGGGCATTACTAAGCCCTTGTGGCATCACTAGTCATTCCCAGAGCATGCCGCTAGGCGTGCTAACTGCGGTATAGGGTATATCCCGTTCCCGCATAAGGATTTGATAGAAGCCATCCATCAAATCCATGGACAAAAGATGGTACTCTTTGACATGCCATCAATGATTACGTCCTTCCTCGGTATCGACGTCTGAGCCGGTACCGTTGCAGCATTCAACTTGTTAAATGCATGCACTATCCGCCACCCTCCTGTTGCTTTTCGCACACAGAAGGTCGGAGAGCTATGTGGGGAAGTTGATTCCCTCACATGGCCCGCAGCTAAACGATCGGCAAAGAACTTGTCGATCGCAAGTACTTGTTCACGAGGCAGTGGCCACTGCTTCATGACACAGTACTTCGAGCCTGGTTTAAGCTCGACCTCGTGTCGAATACCTTTATCCTTCGGTAATTCGCACGGAACAGTTTCAGGGAATACATCCTTGAATTCAACCAAATCTTCATAGAGAGGATTTGTCTTGAGCGATTCCCACGATTGGGAGTCATATCGCTCAATTCGTGTCTTTTCATCTAGGACACTCTCGTCCATAGATGAACTACTGAGAACTCTCTCGTTCTCAGTGAACACTGTTGCTGGCCTTATGTCGGCTACACACTCGTCGTCAGCGACGAGTACGCAGATCTGCTTGACTTTGCCACTACGCAGATCACGCAAGAACCTTCTATGTTCGAGCGTTGGCAACTGAGTGATCTCCGAAGTCAACTTCGGAGGCGCAATCAGATCAAGTGTATAAGCGCCTACACTTGATCCGTTATTGACTATGACATTCAATGTCTCTGTCATTTCCTGGGGACTTATTCCCTCAGGCCTCGAAGGACTTATTCCTTCGGCTTCCCGGGGACTTATTCCCGCGGGTTTCGGGAACATATTTCCGCCGTATTTGTAATATTGGGACTTATTCCCTTTACTTCCTCTAGCTGGGGTTGCGCAACCACAGCGAGATCCTCTACGAAAGACTCTCCAGTCGATCTAGGATTATCGTTTCGCTTAACTTGAGCGATCGATTGTTTCTCTTCTAGATGTTCCCCACTAGGGATACATCTTTGTCCCGGTCCACTCGACTTATTCGAGTGGTGGACCTTCGGCGCAGCCTGTGTTTCCTCACAGCCGCCGGAACTTTGCTCCGAAGTGTAACCGTTTGGTACACTAAGGTGTTGTGCAGTCGTACTAACGACCGTAACACAAGTGAGGCCATCGCACTCACTCGTAGTACATCCACACGCTTGTGGACGCTCCAAAACGTTCATCAGATGGCCATCTGATGAACAAGCGGCAGGCATCGTTACTGTTCGATGTTGCCAGTTTACTCGTGTTTCTTACCTTCTGAGCCACGGTATTCCAAGGATGACATCAAATTTGTCATCCAAATCCAATACGATAAAGTCATCATCATATTGGGTATCTTCTAGCGTATAGTGGATCTTCACTATACGCTTCATGACGGTTACGGATGCGCCTGTCGCGAGACGTACCGTCATCCTCGTAGGAGGTGTGTCACATTCACTGAACTTGAAGTGACCATCTTCTAGCGATTGGCGTCGCACAAAATTGTTGGACGCCCCACAATCGACTAGAGCTCGAAGGGACAACTTATTCGTCACTTCAAGTTTCAAGGTAATGAGTGAGATCTCATTACCTAGAGCAGCAACGCACAACGTTTGTGTGTTGGGAGCAACCTTCATCAAGAGGCCTCCAAATTCTCTTGACGTTGCTGGACTAGTAGGGTGCTCCGCACCTACTGATCCTGTCCGTTTTTTGACGGTCCATCCCGTTGTTGCGTCTTTGCACCAACAGCGGACCCTCGTCCCTGCCCCTTTCTCATGGGTGGACGGTCACTACGCCCAGTGTTGCGAGACACTGGACGAGGGGCACTACACTCGTAAGCGTAGTGTCCTGTCTTCTGACATCCGTTGCATCTCTGCAATTTCTTGTAGTCTGTAGAGCGAGCCTTCTCGCTCTCTACATAACAGAGTTCCATCGGCTCTGGACCTCCGCTGTCATATCGTCTCGGTTGAAGATATGATGTCGAGCTGGCGCGAGCCTGTCTCAGACTGAAGTCTTCCTGTTCCGCAATGGAAATGGCTTGTTCTAGTGAATCTAGTTCAAGCCGGAACAGGTGAGTCTTGACGGGACCATCCGCAAGACCCTGCATGAACACCGAAACCAACGTGTGTTCATCCACCGGATTGGAACTTATACAACTCGTTTATGTTGCGTGTAAGCGTGCACATCACGCTTACCCTGCTTGAGCTTCAAGAGTTCGGTTCGAGCTCTGAACTCAGCTCTAGGCGGTTCACACGTTTGTCTGAGCCGCGACTTGAAGACTTCCAACGACCCAAACGCATATGGGTCGTGCAACTTGAGCCCCAGTGCCCAAGTCTTGGCACGTCCTGCCAGATTTGACTGGGCAAATGCAACTTGCATATCCCCGTCGTCGATGCGACGCGCCCTTATGGCGTCATCCAATTCGACGAACCATCTCAAGAGGGAGTCCTCTTCGACTCCCCTATACTTGGAGATGTCAATCTTCAAGGTTTCGGGTCGA